CGGTTATCGTAGCGGCAGTCCCCGGGGCCGCAGTCTCCTGCGTCGCAGTCCGCGTGACCCCGGCCCCCGTTTGCGCGCTTGCCCCCGTCGCCGGCGCAGTCACCGCGCGGGGCGGCCGCCCGTGAGGTAGCTCCAACGAATAAAGCTCCAGGACACAGGCTCCCTCGGCGACAGCTGAACGGGCGGCCCCGGCCGGGAGCGGCGGCCCGTGTACGACCGTGAGGAGCGAGCGGCGGAGGCGACCTCCGTCCGGGCCCCGCACCATCCTCCCCGCAGGCGCGGCATGATCCTGGCCTGGCATCCGCGGGATGCTCCTTGAGCCCCTTCTCCGGCGGTTACCTCCAGGGGACGGTTGTGGCCACACCGACACATATTTTCCAAATTAATCATTGTTTATTCTTGTGGCGGCGGGGCCGAACACGCTTATATTTTTAATTTTCTCAACAAGCTTATACCCAGCACTTATCCAGCGGAACAACTTGGTAACCGTTTCAAGGGAGCATCGTTCAGCTGGGACATCTCGGACTGAGCCGCTCGTGGAAGCCCGCCCTTGCATCGTCCCGCCTTAAACGCTTGGAAGAGTGTTGCTTCTTCCTGTAACTGCCGGTGTGCACAGAACCCCGTTCAAGGAGCGTCTTGGTCCAGCGATGCAAAGAGCTGAAGTTTCAAGTTTCTGTTGCTAGACGATCGGGATCTCCCCAACAACTCGGAACCCTCAGTAGTCAGCTCACGTGGATCCCCTAGTGCACGCCCGTCTCTCCCCTCTTCCCGCCTGTCCAAGTGCTTTTGTTGAGTAAGCCATCCAATGTCATTGCTCCCGCAGGTGCAACTCCCGGGTTAGAAGGAGAGACGGAGCAAACCGAAGGGAAGGGCGGCATAGCCTTAGTAGTTGCCTGAGTGATTGTATTCATAGGGAGCAGTGGAAAGTCCTTGAAAGCGTTCAGGGCTCCCCAGCTGTGCCCTGAGGTCATGGGTGCTGGAGTGTATGTCCCTGGAGTGACCTGATTCACTCGGTTCTCCCTCTAGGAAATGCCGTCCTTCTCTCTTACTAATCAGTCAGCCCTTCCTTTATAGAAGTGGGTTTTACTTCTGTCCCCAGTCACTTTCAGGGTTCCCCCACCACCACCACCAATGAAAACTTTCAGTTTGCAATCTTGCTGACATTGGTTGGGGGAGTAGTGGCAGGGGGTCTTCTCCACATTGAGGCATTTTACTCTTGGCTCAGAGCTAGACAAAGTCTGAGAACAGGCCAAACCTCAATGGCCATCTGACCCTGGTGAAAGTGACAGAAGCCAAGCGGGGAAGAGGGGTTGTCAGTGTTATCTCTTGTCTCTCACTAGAGGGAGTTCTTGCTTTAGGCAACTGAATACCGCAAGCTCCTAGGAAAAAGCTAGCGTGTCTAGATTTTACTGGGCAGAATTAAGGCACCCATACATGGGGGCAAACGGGGGCTTTTTTCCTGAGTGCTACCTTGTGAATTTAGTAGGCGCAAAGAAAATAACCATTTAGCCATGTCAAGCAGTGGCTCCAAATTCTTATACTGCTGTGTGATAGCAGTACCTCTGACTAGGCAAGTGCCTCTCCGTGACCTCTCTGTGCCTCCATCTCCTCATCTTGAAAAGTGGGGATAATAATGGCGCCTAGTGCGTGGGGGGACGTTGTGAGTTAACACATGTAAAATGTCTAGAACAGTACTTGGCAAGATTTAATAATTACTATTACTAGCATTGATCCTGGGGGGGGGTTCCCTTATATTCTGTCATAATATAATTACTATTACTAGCATTGATCCTGGGGGGGGGTTGGGAGGTGAATACACTGTTGCTTTGACCCTGTGGAACTTGATAACCAACTGTAGAGTTAAATTGCTGACCAAGCCCTGTTTATTATTATAGCTGGAAGAGCCTGTATTGTCCTCATAATAATATAGAATTCAAGATAGGAGAGAGAGAGGCTGCAGCAAATGAAGACTTTAAAAAAGAAAGAATGTCGAAGATTCAGGTAGAGTAGGTGAAATAAGGGAATTTGGGATAAATTATTCAATGGCCTCTGATAAATACTGTACTCCCCCCCCCCCCC